TATATATATATATATATAATTTAATATAATAAAATATAATAGAATAAAACTAAAAAAAAGTGGTATTAAACAAAATAGTATTTCACTTAAAATTATATTGTTTCAATGAAATAAATGTAAATCCAACGAATAATAATTTCGAATGATAAACAATTTTTTTGGTGTATAATGGTTCTGCAGAATTTGTTAAGTTTGTTTATTGTATAAATATTAAATTTTTAAAACATTTACCGCTTCACATCAAATTTGCTTTCTGTAAAAAAAAAAGTTCGACGAGGATGGGATTCGAACCCACGCGTGCAGAGCACATTGGATTAGCAGTCCAACGCCTTAACCACTCGGCCACCTCGTCACGCAAGTTGAGGGGTTTAAAATGTTTGTAGTAAGTCGTGACATCTTGACTTCTTGCAATATCATTACTGTGCAATTTTTATAAATTAAAAAAGATTTGAACAATAAAAAATCTGCTATTCGATAAAATATACATCTACAAATGTATGGCGTGGCATATGCGTTACATAACAATTGGCGATTGACGTGTGTCGTATAAAAAAAAAGCAATTAATCGAAAATGTAACTTTTATCGAGTTGAATAATTTGACGCGATTTTGTGATACAATCTCATTGATTTCTGCAAATGTTGTATAACAGTGATGAATTTTTTATATAAAAATGTGAGATCGATTAAGAAAACATTATTTATTTATTAATATTTAAATTATTATTATATTTATTATTAATATACAAATTATTATTTTATATAAATAATAATACAAATACAAATTTAATTTTCATATTTATATTTTTATATAATTTATAAAATATGATAATATATTTATGAAAAACAGATTAATAAAAAAGAAATAAGGACTCGTTATATAAAAATAAACAAAATGATGTCAAGGGTGATTAAAGATTAACTTTATTATTATATAGTTATATAGGCGATTTAGTATTAAAGTAATGTTTTAATTTTATTGAAAATGACTAATTATATATTTTATTGTTTAACGAAAATTCTTTTTGACTCTTTAATCGCCCTTGACATCATTTTGTTTATATTTATAAAATATTTTGTGTGTATGAAGTACTAACAAGTATCAATTACTGATTATACAGCTGTTCCTCTATATGTTCGACTAATCATCTATTTTATGTTTATACATATAATAGCGTTTAAACATAACATGTCAAAAAATTTTGTCCTGCGAATATTGAGGGTACTTGTAACGTGATGTATAAACGTGTATTTATGAATATTGTTATTAAGGAGGAGGCTGGTTTAAAGAGCCAAAATTTTCGATTTTTTTGCTTTAATCAATATTACTCTCAGAAAATATACTCATAAAATTTCAGACCAAAATTCGAAATACTTTTGTATTATAATAGGAATAGATACACGTCGCGCAGGTATTATACAATAGTATGTAGATATGGCGGGATCCATTGTATTCCGCTTCTGTTTCTGCACAGTATTATTATGCACTTTAGAAGATGCAAACTTTAAGATAAATAACATAATCAAAAAGTCAACAATTAAATTAAAGACTCCTTTATGTTCAAAACAAAATACAAAAAAAAATTAATAAATAAGAATAATCTTAATGGCTACAAGGAGTCAAACGCTGATGATGGTTCCGAAAAAACAATAGGATCGAAACGTTCGAAATTTTGTATCTAAGATATTTGTATATTAATTGCGCACCGTTAACAGCGTTTGACTCCTTTTAGCTATTAAGATTATTCGTATCCATTAATTTTTTCTGTATAATCACAAAGTACTGTACATATTATACGAGACAAACCCTAGTAGCTTTTTTATTTTGTCAATTTAAGAAATAATAATATTTAAGAAATATAGATAAACTTGAAAGATAAGAAAAAATTTATGTAACTTTTTAGATAAAAGAAACCTCGAAATAAATTATAAATGCTTCCTATTTCATCAATAAAAGCAGCATTTTGATATTTTTATTATTTTATAAAACAAAACAGGATAACTGAAAAGGTGGCTTTTTATTTTTGCCGGTCACTGTACTTTTCAGTATTCTAAACTCCCCTCGTTAAATAGTTCCGCAACGAGTGCGCGCATCAATATATATAATGAAATGCAATATGTAACATCAGTTCTTGTAGTGCTGTAATTCTATAATAAGTCTCTCTATTACTATATTTTTTGGGTTTGTGCATAAATTTGCCAACGATAATTAATAAAAAATATTTTTAATTTATTAATTACTATCAATATTCTAGATTCTAGAAATAAACTACTGAGCATCTAAAGATAAATTTAAGGAAACCTTAAGTATAAGGTCTGACTATGAATACGGGCATTAGTCTGCAAGTATACAGCGTAGTTTAACATGCGTAATGTGTATTCGAAAGCGATAATTGGCGACTAATGTATGCTGTATAAAAAAATTAATTAAAAAGGTCACTTTGATTTTTATCAAGTTAAGTAACTCTTAATTTACATTAATTATTCTACGACTTAAACACACAAGTGATCTTAGCAGTTTTTCTACGATCTATTGACATATATAAACGGATTAAGAGTATCGCAATTACTGTGGAATGAGAGATAGTATACACAGGAATACAGTTTATCCAGTTACTATAGTAAGCGTCGACATCTTTGATACTGTGGTTTGGGAACAATATTTTGCTATATTCTAAATGTAAGGAAGCATCTTTTTAAAAGATAAATATCGGGATTGAATAAATTAACCTTTTTCTTTTAACTACAAGTTAATGATCTACAAGATTAATTTAATTACGTTAAAGGTTGCATAAATAGAGCACTAACTTACATTTAGTTAAAAAGTGAGTTAAAATTTCCAGGGGCAGAGAGAAAGACACCTCTCTCTTTCTCTCTCTCTCTCTCTATAAGTTTTCTTTTTTAAAAAAAGATAAAATTAACACTTATGCCTGTTTCCACCAATGCAGATTAACTTTAATTTCGGTTGAACTTACTGTTCATCTTTTTCTAATTTTTAGAATTAGAAAAAGATGAAGAGCAAATTGAACCGAGATTAAAGTTAATCTGCATTGGTGGAAATGGGCATTAGAGTTATTAAGTTAGATTAAATTAATTTTTAAAAAATATTTATATTAAATTAATAATATATTATTATATATTCTATAATATAATAAATATAAAAAATATATAAAATTGCATTCTTTTAATGTAAAAAATACATGTAATTTTTTTAAATTAAATTACTCTAAACAAAAAATAATTACGATATAGATCAAATAAAAATTTACAATAAATTTTATAATTTATAATACAAGCACTCAATTGAATGTCTTGTTTTTTTAATGTAATTGTCTTACCTATAGATCCAACCAATTACATTAAATTGTTATTTAAGTAAATTATTTACTTATAAGTATATTTATAAGTATACTTATAAGTAGTAATACGAAGGTGTGTGTGTTACTTTTGATTTTAAGCGAGGTTTAAAACTCTCTCTGTCTCTGTTTCGGCTTTAAAACGATACAGAGAGTTTTAAGTTTCGCTTAAAGTCTAAGTAATGTTGATGCAACCGGGCCTTAATTGTTTAGTGAAAGTATAGTAGTAAGGTTGTAGTAGTGATTGAATGAACTATATCAGGAGACACGGTAGTGTTTCAGCGCTAATCAACATACGTATATATTATGTATACATATACATGTGTACGTATATTGATAGTGGTTCGATTTCTTTCATATCATTAATCTTTGTACGCGAATTGCGGTTGAAACTTGAATTGAACAATTGTTTGCATATTTCCGATTTTAGGCGTGTTGATAGCGCAGCTCTGGAATTCAGTGTGTTTTATGTGCATCGTGGGATCCTAAGATCTTGTACGAAATCGATCGATATATGATTGGATGTACCATGATGGAGGATATAGTGAAATTCACACCGGTATATGATGATGCCACCGCGCGATTGCTAGCGAGCGAATTCACGAGACTCGAAGGTAAGATGCTCAGAAGAAAGGATTTTCTTAGGGTGGAATTCATTATTCACATTTCAGTCCGTTTTTATTTTATAAGACTATCTTAAATAGTCTTAAAATGCTAATATAGCCCCCTAATTAGCTTATGACATCTTAAAACTATGACATCTTAAACTGCTTGAGACAAAAATTTCAAACATAAGAATTGAATACCAGCCTTAGTATATTTCTTAGAATTAAAGAACGATAATTAAAGAAAAATAATATTAATTGTACTGTTTTGATGAACTCCGCTTTGGATGTAACTATACTAGACTAGATGAGATTTGATCCATTTTCAGAAAATTTCTAGAAATATATAAATATATTATGACTGTATGATTCTTGCACTGTAGATATGACAACACTTGCTGCGTAACAAAATTATACATAAAGAAATCTACTAAATAAATGTGTTACCAAAATATGATTTCCATATTGTTTTTCTTAGGTGAGTGCTACGTAGATCACGCGGGTACAACTCTGTATTCAGAAACGCAGATCAAAAATGCTGGAGCTAATCTGCATGGATGTCTCTATGGAAATCCACATTCCACTGGAAATTCAAAGACACTAGACATTATTGAGCGTATGAGATACCGGTGAGAGATTCCTGTTGTAAATTACAGATAAATTCGCGCGTATCTAATAATAAATTTACAATTAATTTGAATCACCATTTTCAGAATTCTGAGTCACTTCAATACGAATGCTGATGAGTACACTGTTATCTTCACCTCGGGCGCCACGGCAAGTCTAAAGATAGTCGCGGAAGGATTCCGTTTTACGACGGATGAAAAAAAGATAGCAACGTCCCCGCATTCAGGAAGTTTTGTTTATGTACAGGACAATCACATGTCAGTCCTCGGGATGCGAGACGTAATCGCAGTTAAAGGTGCCGATGTCATTTACCTGGACCATGATCAGGCGTTTCACATTTTCAACCAGCCTCCAACCTGTCGAGATTCTAACGAGACAAAGAGCAGTAATTCTCTTTTCGTGTATTCTGCGCAATGCAATTTTTCTGGTTTAAAGTATCCCCTTAAATGGATAAGTGATGCGCATGCTGGGGCGCTTTCTGTTTTTGTTAGAAAACCATCGACCAGATGGTATGTTTTACTCGATGCAGCTAGTTTCGCGGCAACGAATAAATTGGATTTATCTGTTTTTAAACCAGACTTCGTATGTCTATCATTTTATAAAATGTTTGGCTATCCCACCGGTATTGGCGCCCTGCTGGTTAAAAACACCAGCTCGGATGTTTTAGATAAAACGTATTACGGTGGCGGTACTGTGGACATCGCTTTGAGTTCTGAAAGATTTCACAGAAAACGTGAAATACTGTATCAAAGGTAAGTAAGAATGGTGTTTATCTTTGAAAAAATTATCTGAAGTAACCTAATTTGCAGGTTTGAAGATGGAACCGTACCGTTTCTATCAATCGTGTCGTTACAATATGGCTTTGAAATACTTTCAAAGTTAACTATGGATCGAATATCAAAACACGTTTTTTCACTCGCTAAAACTCTTCATCACTCTTTGTTAATTTTACATCATTGTAATGGTAAACCTGTTGTAAAACTCTACTCTGATTCTGATTATGAAGATCGTAGATCACAAGGCGGCATTGTTACATTTAATGTTATGCGCTCCAATGGTGAACATGTAGGATACATGAAAGTTCTAAATATGGCAGCATTATTTAAGATACATCTAAGGACAGGTTGCTTTTGCAATCCCGGTGCATGTCAAAGACATTTATCCTTTTCGACAAAAGAGATTCTTAAATATTATGAGGCTGGATATGTATGCGGTGGTGAAACAGATTTAGTAAATGGGAAACCAATTGGAGCAGTAAGAATTTCGTTCGGATATATGTCTACGATTAAAGACGTTGAGACAGTTTTACTTATGATTACTAAATGTTTTATTGATGAACCGTGCATCAGAAAATTTCCGGAATGGTGGAAAAAGCATAAACTTTCTAAAAATCATGAGCATTTTTACCATTCTGATATAGACTATTCTGTTCCATGTATTACAAATAATGAAAAAAATGTAAACAATTTTCGGAACAATTCCCATAATGAAAATAAAAATCGCATTAGAAGTGCTATAAATTTTAGCAAAATAAATACGCAAATAAATAAGTGTATTTTAAAACGGTTATTCATATATCCTATTAAATCATGTGGAGCACACGAAATTACAGACTCATGGAATTTAAATTCAAAGGGTCTAGAATTTGATAAAGAGTGGATGATAATAACATCTTCTGGAACTTGCTTGACACAAAAGCATCATACGAATTTATATTTGCTTAAGCCTGTTATTCTTAGAAAGCAAAATATTATGAGACTAACATATCCAGGTAATGATAGCTAAATTTTATGAATATAAATATTATACAGTAGTATTCCGCAATAACTTAATGTATAATATTATAGTATTGTATTAGCATAAATGCCAAGTTTGGTTAATATTTTTTTAAAACTAAATTAAATTAACTACGATCCTATGTATAATGCAGAACCAATCTACTTTCACTTTTGGACATTACGAGCATCACGCCCAGTACAGTCATTAAGCTTTTTCTAAAATAATTTTTTAATGTTTAAGATGTTATAGAAAATAATATTAGCATGCAATCTTTTAGATTGATAAAGAAATTTTCATTTAAAAAGAATTAATGAATTAAAGTTTAAAAGTAACTCAATAATGTTATTAATTTTTTAATTTGTTATTTAACTTTTAACCTATTTAATTAGTTAGCATCTCTGTATAAATGAATCCTGTATAAATGGTAAATCATTTTAGGAAGGCCAACAATTGACATTCCTTTAGAAAATGTTTACGAAAAGTCAATCGAATATTCTACACATCAAAACACAGTATATGAAAGTAAAGTACAAAGTATTGATTGTGGATCAAAAGTTTCTGAATGGCTAAGCTTAGCATTGGGCAAACCAAATCTTAAATTAATTCGACGAAGTCGTGAGAGACAAAAAAATGGTATACCAATGTTAAAGTCGTAAAACTGTAATTCTTATACTGGTAGAAAACTAATTTCTCTTCTCTTATAGAATTAAATAAAGCAGAATTATCTAACCAGACGCAGTATTTAGCAGTAAACGAAGCAAGTATGTCATGGTTTATTGATAAAATATCTGATGACTTAGATTTTTTAAAAGATGCAATGCATCAATTCAAATCAAATATCATTGTGGGAGGCTGCGAAGCCTTTGATGAAATGCAATGGGAACATGTTCGCATTGGAAATAACAATTTTAAGGTATGAAGTTTTTATATTGATTAAGCTATTAATTCGAAGTATATTACTATAATGCATTTAATGGCAGGTAAACGGCCCTTGCACAAAATGTCAAATGATAAGCCTTGATCAAACAATTGGTGAAAAGACTATTGAGCCATTAAGAACATTAACAGAAGAGTTCCATGAAAAGCTGAGATTTGGAATCTGTTTAACTAGATTAGAGAAAACGCAAAGTACGCTTAAGATTGGAGATTATATATATTTTTCTTAGAGATATAATCTTTAAATAATTATCTAAACTTTACGTATACAATTTATCACGAGCAAACTACAAAAGAATTTCTTAACATGCTCCATTAAGTATATTCTATTAAGTATTTAGTATTATATAAAGAAAAGAAGGGAGTTTTTATAGACTTAGTTTTATTGAAATAACTTAGTTTTATTGAAATAACTCTGTAGATATAATGTGACATAACTATTTTTAGTACAAGTTTACTAACCATAAATTAATATTAATTATGCTATAAGTAGAAGTTCTTTGCATATACAGAACGTAACTGATAAAAATATAAAGGACAAAAAGGAGATTGAGATTTTGGAATATAAAGAAAGTGAATATGGAATATTAATTATTTAATTAATAATTAGACTGTCTGATATATTTAAACTTTTTTTTAAACTACGAACGGACAAAGTGATTCTTACAGTTGTTTTATCACTGAAAATGAATCCGTAAATAAAATCGTTTTTTTACTTGTGAGAAAATTTGTTCTATAGGTATTAAAATTACAACATTGTTTTTAACATTAAAAAATCTGTAAGAAACATATAATTAGATTCGAAGTAATTTTTACTGTAACTACGTAGTATTATTTGAATATTGTTCTTATATTCTATAATAATAAATATTTTAAGATATTTTGGAATGATATTTTGAGATTTTAGGAACATTTTATGAATATTTATGAAATATTTAGCGTTAAGGAGGATAGCTTAATGTATGATTGATATGTTTGAATTTTTGTTTTCATGTGAAATATACATTTAATTATCATTACTAAACACTGACTTTTTGCTCGACTATCATTGCTCCTTATTCACTATTTTAATTTTTGTAATTTTTTTAACTTTAAATTATAAAATTTAACACAAATATAACAATTTTAAATAATAAAATACCGTAGGTCATCGGTAACGTCAGTTCTTCAATGTGTTGTAATTCCGTGATAAGTCTTTATCATAAGATTGCAACACTTTATCGCTTATTTACCTTCAAGTTTGTATATCTCCCGCGAGGCGATACATACATGCAAGAAAATATCGGAACTAAGTCATATTACAATAGATATCGTGTCGAAGAGAAATGCTAGTTCTTGCTCGACAACGATAATTGCCTTCCGCGCGGACAGTTATAGGACCGGTTCCATCCGAGTATAAAATTTATTTTAATCTCGGTTTAACTCATTATTTATCTAAAAAGTGATAAAGAATAGGATATTCGGTGCATCCCTAATAAAGAGTGAAGTTAAATTGAGATCACAGTTAATCCTACATTGGTAAAACTAATTTGCGTTAATTACTCCGTTACAAACTTAAATATGCGAGCGACAATAACGCGCTGCGCAGACGGGCGATCGCGCGTGTCCACGCTGTCCATGGTTACTTCCGTCCAATCTCTTTTACGTCATTAAATCGTCTTGGTCGCGACGGTGTAGTTACTGTAGTTGAAATTTAAAAACCGGTTGAGCAATAGCTTGCATGTTTCTCGTCTTTCTTCGCCGTATCGATAGTGGAAGTGGAATTCTGGAGTTCAGTGTGCGCTACAAGTTTCTAAGATTTGGTACACAAATCGATCGACATGGTGGACACTATAGTGGAATTTACATCAATTTACGATGACGCTACCGTGCGATCGCTCGAAAACGAATTCTCGAGGCTTAAAGGTGAGATATACTTGGGGAAGAACTAGAACTCGTACTAAAATTTCTATCTTGTTTTCGTTAAACTTCAAAAGTTTAAATATGTAATTTTAAGTGTGAGTGTACATTAATTTAATATTAATTTTGTTAGTTTTCTCTCAATGTGCTTTTAATCAAATGATAATCTCACTAGATCAAAAAAATTCTAAATCACCCATTAAATTTTATAGCTATAAAGAATAGACTTTTGATTTATTGCTTTACTTATGAAACTGCTAGTTTGGTCATTTATTTTAGATATCGACGCATTTCTATTAATGGTTACTTGAAAACTTTTACGTTTATAATAAAAATTATTTGACTGATACACGATGTACTCAACTTCGCGACAGTGATATGACAAGGACATGCGTGATGACATCGTTACAAGTTATTTACGTAATAAGACTATTATTGTACAGGACGTTTCAAAGTTGCCGGACATTCTTTCCATTCTCACTTCCATGCGAGTGAAAATATCGAAGAAATTAATTTTATTTACCGTATTCTTCTAAATTTTAAATATTTTCGTGATTTTAAGCTTCAATAATATTAAAGTAAATGAATTTCGTCTATTTTATTATAGATTTTGGTTATATCTTATATAATATATATACAGATTTAGTTATCCGCGTATAGAGATGAGTACATTAAATTGTAAAGTACAAAAAGTAAATTAAAACTGCACAAGTACTAATAATTAAAACAGCTGCAGATTAGTGTTAGCAGCTCAATGGGATATGTGAGATATATTAATTTTGTTAGTTTTCTCTCAATGTGCTTTTAATCAAATGATAATCTCACTAGATCAAAAAAATTCTAAATCACCCATTAAATTTTATATATAAAAAGTTTTTGCAAAATTTGTTTCAGAAACAATGATAATTATTCCTTAAAGTAGAAACTATCATGCTCAATGATCATTCGCTACCAGTCTACTAGACTTGTGGATTTAACTAGATATTGTTCATCTAAATGGTTCGAAATCTTATTGCACCCGGCATACAGTCTTGATTTTGCATTGCAAGATTACGCGATTTGTTCCATTTGAATGAAATTTTTCTTGCCAGGATGCGATTCGAAACTATTGAGCAAATTGAGACAGCTTGTCGTGAGTTCTTCGCGTCTAAAAATGATACCTAAAGTGACCGGCAAAAATAAAAAGCCACCTTATTTGTAAAACTGGTTTGCTTCATAAGGATTAAAAAATATTTATATTACAGATATTTGTACTAAAATTGAAAATGTATTCATTAATTAAACATTTTTATTAAAAATAGAATCAATTTTTTATTTAATATATAATGTTATATGTTGATTTCTGAAAGATTACATATTTAAGTGTGACGAAATAAAACAGCCAGTTAACATAATATTTTAATTTTAGAAAAAAAACAGCAATATAATTCTAATTAATAACTAATATGACTTCCTTTAGCCTCAATAACTTTTTGAAGTCTCCTTAGTATACTTTCAATTAAATTTTTCAAATGTTGTGAATCCAGATTCTCCCATGCTAGTTGTAATGCTTCAAAATAGGAGTTTTTGTTAGTTATTCCGCATTTATGTCAGCCCTATTATCCAGAATTGCCCACAGATTTTCAATAGAGTTTAAATCTGGAGATTGCGGAGGCCATTCGAGCTATTTGATGCGGCATGAACGGAAAAAAGCTTGACTTTTCTTTGCTGTTTCAGATCATTATCTTGCTGGAAAATAAAATTATCTTCTAGTCCGATCTTCAGCAAAGTCTCCTCCAAATTTTTATTAATTACATCAATATAAACATCTGCCGTCATAATCCCATCAATTTCAACAAGATTTCCTATTCCTGCCCATGAGAAACACCCCCATAATATTTCCTCCATCATGTTTTACAGTTTTCTGAATCGATCTTGAAGCTCTTCTCCATGTTTTCTCCAGACTCTAATCCGCTTCTTTTGTCCAAATAACTCGAATTTACTTTCATCTGTCCATAAAACTTTTTTCCAGAAGTCCAATGATATATTTGCGTACTTTCGAGCAAATTGCAAACGTTTTTTCTTATTGATAGCGCTGATAAAAGGTTGTTTATGTACGAACCGGCTGTGTAAATTTGCTTCACAAAGTCTGCGACATACCGTGCGGTCACAAAACATGAAGAATCATGTTCTTTTGAATTTCTTTGACAGTAATCTTTGGATTTTTCTTAACTTCTCGAACTATTTTCGTATCCTCTCGTTTAGACGTTGCTCGTTTTCGGCCTCTTCCACTTCTATCTATAACCGATCTGTAACCGTCACTATAAATCCGACAGCCAGCTGCCTTTTATAATAATAACAGTGACGAATGGTTATTAAACATGCAAAATCTCTTCATCTTTATTTTAAAGAATAATTGTTGTAGTTTCTAAATAAATTTAAAATATAATATAAAAACAGTAAAGGGTAATTTAAAACTTTTTTGATAATTTTTTTTTTTAGTATTATGTAATTAAAAATTAATACTTCTAGATTCTTCTTTTAACTTATTTCTTTCTTTCTTCAGAAGATTTATTTGTGTCTAGGGCACCTCCTAGTAGTGCCGTCACTGCACAATGATGGTATATGTAAGAATAACGCCTGCAAATAAGTTAATGTGTCTACGCCATGTCATACGTTTGAATAATTTAGGATAATGACAAGCAAAATTTTTTAATTATATTACACTTTTTTTCTTTCGAAGTCTCTTAGTTTTTCACTTATTTCATTAATTAAAACAAAAATTATAGATGCTTTGACGTTTTTATTAAAATTTATTCCAAATTAAGAAAAAAATCCTAATGAAAAGAATGTCCAATAACTTTGGAATTTTGCAAGTATATTTTATTAATATTTTCCACAAACAATTTTGCTATATTAAATATTTCTTCATGATTAAAAAATCAATACTGGATTACTGACTTATCACTAAAGATTGATAATATTTATTTGATAAAAAATAATTTTTAATAATTTAAATTTAATGTAATGTACCATACCATATGGGAAAATGTACCATATGAATGATGATTACGTGAATAATGTTGCTAGTTTACTTCTGCATGATCTTTAGGCGAATGCTATGTGGATCACGCAGGCGCAACTCTGTATTCGGATACACAGATCAGGAATGTTAGCGCTGATTTGCATGGCTCTCTTTATGCAAATCCCCATTCCACCGGAAATTCGTTGACGCAGGACATTATCGAACGTACGAGATATCGGTGAGATAACTGGACGATAAATGGGCGATAAAAAATTTACAGTTGATTTGAAAAATTATTCTCAGAATTTTGAGTCACTTCAATACGAATCCTGATGAGTACAGCGTCATCTTCACCTCGGGCGCCACGGCAAGTCTAAAGATAGTCGCGGAAGGATTCCGTTTTACGATGGAAAACAATAAGGTAGTAATGTCATCGCATTCGGGAAGTTTTATTTACGTTCAGGACAATCACACTTCGGTTCTCGGGATGCGGGATGTAGTCGCGGCCAGAGGAGCCGACACTATTTGCCTAGGTCACGATCAGGCATTTCAAATTTTCAGCCAGCCTACAACCTCTCGCGATTCTGACGAAAGACAGAGCAGCAATTCTCTTTTCGTATATTCTGCGCAATGCAATTTTTCTGGATTAAAGTATCCCCTTAAATGGATCAGTGATACGCATACTGGAGCGCTTTCTGTTTTTGTTAGAAAACCATCGACGAGATGGTATGTTTTACTCGATGCAGCCAGTTTTGTGCCAACAAATAATTTGGATTTATCTGTTTTTAAACCAGACTTCGTATGTCTATCATTTTATAAAATGTTTGGCTATCCCACCGGTATTGGCGCCCTGCTGGTTAAAAACACCAGCTCGGATGTTTTAGATAAAACGTATTACGGTGGCGGTACTGTGGACATCGCTTTGAGTTCTGAAAGATTTCACAGAAAACGTGAAATACTGTATCAAAGGTAAGTAAGAATGGTGTTTATCTTTGAAAAAATTATCTGAAGTAACCTAATTTGCAGGTTTGAAGATGGAACCGTACCGTTTCTATCAATCGTGTCGTTACAATATGGCTTTGAAATACTTTCAAAGCTAACTATGGATCGAATATCAAAACACGTTTTCTCACTTGCCAAAACTCTTCATCACTCTCTCTTAACACTACATCATTGTAATGGTAAACCAGTTGTAAAACTCTACTCTGATTCTGATTATGAGGATCGTAGATCACAAGGCGGCATTGTTGCATTTAATGTTATGCGTTCCAATGGTGAATATGTAGGATACATGGAAGTTCTAAATATGGCAGCATTATTTAAGGTACATCTAAGGACAGGCTGCTTTTGCAATCCTGGTGCATGTCAGAGACATTTATCCCTTTCGACTAAAGATATTCTTGAAAATTATGAGGCTGGGTATACGTGCAGTGGTATTGCGGATTTAATTAACGGCAAACCAACCGGAGCAGTAAGAATCTCGTTCGGATATATGTCTACGATTAAAGACGTTGAGACAGTTGTACTTATGATTACTAAATGTTTTATTGACGAACCGTACATCAGAAAACTTCCGGAATGGTGGAAAAAGCACAAACTGGAAATTTTTAAAAATCACAGACATTTTTACAATTCTAATATAGATTATTCTGTTCCATGTATTATAAAAAACGAGAAAATTGTAAACAATAATTTTGAGAAAAAAAAATTTCAAAATAATTTCCATAATGAAAATAAAAACCTTAATCGCATTAGGAATGCTATAAATACTAGCAAAATAAATACGCAAATAAATAAGTGTATTTTAAAACGGTTATTCATATATCCTATCAAATCATGTGGAGCACACGAAATTACAGACTCATGGAATTTAAATTCAAAGGGTCTAGAATTTGATAGAGAGTGGATGATAATGACATCTTCTGGAACTTGCTTGACACAAAAGCATCATATAAATCTATGTTTGCTTAAGCCTGTTATTCTTAGAAAGGAAAATATTATGAAACTAACATATCCAGGTAATGATGGTTAAATTACATAGATTTAATAATCTGTAATTTAAGGAGATGTTGAAGTAACAATGAAATTTCATTGTCTATCCCCTGTAGTGTTATTTTTTTGACATAAATAATTATTCTAGGAATGCCAATGATTGAAATTTCTTTGAAAAATAGTTATGAAAAGTCAATGAAACATCCTATATGTCAAAGCAGAATATGTGAAAGCAGAGTGGAAGGTATTGATTGCGGATCGGAGGTTTCTGAATGGTTAAGTTTGGCACTTGGCAAACCAAATCTTAGACTAATACAACAAAGTCACGGAAGACAAAAGAAAGGTATGAATGTCAAGATATTGAGTTCAATGTTACGATTATGTATATATAAAGAATTCTTCATTTTCCTCTTGTAGGTCTAGATAAGACTGAGTTATCATTTTCTAGCCAGGCACAGTATTTAGCAATAAACGAAGCAAGTGTGTCATGGCTCAATGATAAGGTATCTCATGACTTAGATTTTAAAAAAGATACAGCTGTGCATCGATTTAGAGGAAATATTATTGTGGAAGGTTGCGAAGCTTTTGATGAAATGAAATGGAAACATATTTGCATTGGAAATAATAACTTTGAAGTATAAAGTTTTTATATTAACTAAGTTACTAATTAATTCGAAATAGTGCTATATATATAACGCATTTAATGGCAGGTAAATGGTCCTTGCACAAGATGTCAAATGATATGCATTGATCAAACAACTGGCGAAAAGACTATCGAGCCACTGAGAACGTTAGCAGAAGAATTCCATGGAAAGTTAAGATTTGGAATTTATTTAACTAGATTAGAAAATACACAGGGTATGCTTAAGATTGGCGATCACATCTACTGTTCCTAATAATTTTTTAATGATTACGTTTAAAGATATAATAATATACCAAAAAATTTGCCAGTTGTCGCCGTGTTTTTATCCATATTACCAACAACGTTCCGTGAACCTTGTCATTCACTTCATTAGGATGATAATCCGTAAATCTTTTGTTATCTTTGAAGATAATACCCATAGAAGCTTGAAAAGCATGATTATCTGAACTTTACATATAAAGCCTAAACTATTGCGTAAACGTAGTTGTAAAAATTCTCCAATCACAGTTGGATATTCTTCTAGTATTTAATCATAATTGGTTAATTTTTACAACTACAACTACGTTTATACAATTGTAGATCGGGCTTAATCATGAGCAAGCTACAAAAGAATATCATATTGTTCTATTAAATACATAGAGGAAGGGAGGGATTATCAACTACTGTTGTATTTTATTGAAATAACTCAATAAATATTTATGTGACCTAACTACTTTGGCACAAAGTTATTAGTCACAGAGTAACTGTATATTTATCAATTATACTGCAGGTAGAAGAACTTCTACTTATAATATAATTGATAAGTGTACAGAATGAACGTAATTTAAAAAAAAATTACGGTTATGGAATAGAGGGGTAGGAGAACATGTAGGCCTCCTTTCCTCTATCAATAAAATGAGTTTTTTATTCTCTGTACCTGATTTATAATAAAATGTGTTTATAATAATATACAGTCCTCGGTCTGATGTACAATTTTCTTCACTGGTTTACCTGCAGATACATCTTTGATCATATCTGCGACTTCACCAAAGTCTGGAAACGCGAGAGTTTGAAGTTTAGAGTGTACCAGTTCATCATTGACTTGTACTTCGAAAGAAGCTAAAAATAACAGTTATAAGATTTCCACTTGCTCGATATTCATGTTTTATATTTACTGCAGTTCTGATTATATGTTTCATGTTCTGTTTGGAACTTGCCTTGCCTTCCCACTGTACCAGAGATGGTGGCATTGGGGACACTCTTTTTTATTTCCTTTGCCAATTCAAGAAAATGTGTCTTATGTCCACACGAACCACTGCAAAAAAATAGTAATTAATTTAATATTTGCAAATAAAAGTCTTTTAAAAAATAGTATATTTAAACATTTTGCTAGGATATTTATATAAATAGCAAACTTATCCACTTAATATATAAGAATGTATACTATTTCTTAATGAAATTGTTTCTTTATGATTTCTATAAACAATATAAATGAACATGAGTACATTAACATTGAAATTAACAAAATAAGATGTATTTTTATATTTAAATAGAACTTGAATCCTGTTAATTATAACCTGAATAACTTGAATTAAGAATTCTATTATATGATTGTAGGCATAAACTTACCAATATTCGATGTCAACTTTTACATTCATTTCTTTTGCCATTTTATCACATTTTAAGTTATAAATCGGTAGTACATTAATGCACTTACTCTCCTATTACTGGCTAGGTATTCATCCGCTAAAACCAGCATTTAATTACAGTATAACTTAACCTATTTCAAATAATACTCGATAACAAAAATAATACTATTGTACATACATACATACATTAACATCATGCGTCTTTCTTGTTTTTATATTTTTTTGACACATGCAATGCACATATAGTAGCTTCTTCGAAAATAGAATCAGGTATGTATGGTATGTACAGCAACTATAAACACAGTAAACAATCATTTTTCGTTTCGTTGTTCACATTAAATGAGCTTTTTAATTTATCGATTATGAGATTGATTAATAAAAAATGAAAAAACTCTCTCTCTCTCTCTCTCGTATGTTGCGTAATGAAAAAAAACAAAAAATTGGAACATGTACATACATACATACAATGATACAAAAGAATGAATGAAGAATAGGTCTGTTTTCTGTGGCTGAACTAATGTATGTACACTTTTGAAACTTTAAAGCGAGACAGGCATATATTTGATATTTGTTGAGAGTTCTAATGCAGTCTAGTACAGGAACAGAAAAGAGACCAAATGGCAATAAATGTGAAATACAGCTTATTCTCATTTGTCATTAAATATGTTGTTGTTTATACATACCTACTAATTATCTCTGTTGATCCTATCCATCAACTCTGTTATTTCCATCACGCTCAACCGGCTCAACGCTGATCACTAAACTAATTGTACTAATAATCTAACCTTCGAAACTTGCTGTAAACATAAATTGCGCAGGCGCGAGAAGACAGAAAGGGAATGCGCGGTCTCCCATAAGAAAAGAGACCATGCTTGGATGCTCCGTCTATTCATGTTATGGATTTATACTTTATACTATGTTTATGGTATTAAGTCGAGACTGCTCGGAGTCGCGGGGTGACTATGGCAGAGTGTGACAGTCCTGCGACTGCAGACGACCAACCGGACCGACCGACGGCGACGGCGCCATGCGCCATTGCTCTCTGCGTGGACCTGTCTGTCGTCTGCCATCACGGACGTCACGGTCTGTCGTGGTCGCGCACGGGGTGGTCTGGGGTGATCGCGATTCATCATGGGGTTGCGCTGACTTGACACGCGTCAGATTCAGTTAGATTTGACTGGAGACACGAGCGTGAGCACAACACGAGTGATTGATCCATTGATCTTTGAACGACGATCGCCTGGTTCGCGACGTAGTTCGACGGCGTGCCGCGTCAACGGGGGCGCGGACCTTTCGAAAGTGGCACACGTAGGCAACACTGGCAACAGGTGTCCACGTTGATTGCTGCGCGCCTTCGATAATTGACAGTGACGAGAGACGGAGACGTTCGGTGACAACAATTATTCGTCCCCCGGCTGAACCGTTTATTCGATACGTCCCATTGACAACTTCTTCTGGGACCATCGCGGGATCCTCGATCGAGGTGTTCACGACAGAATGAATTACGACTACTTGGTGAAGTTTTTGGCGCTCGGGAACTCCGGCGTTGGCAAAACGAGCTTTCTCTATCAGTATACGGACGGCACCTTCAACTCCAGATTCATATCCACTGTTGGGATTGATTTCAAGGAGAAGCGAGTGGTGAGAGAATGAGTAACACAACCTTTTTGAATGATAGCGTTGATCGTTTGAAGTCTGCATATTTTTGAGAAAGCCTCTTGCATATTTATATAAGTATAGCTGCGATATGGCAGACATTGAATAATTAATAACCCCACACAAACTAAATATAAAGTATTAGATGTGGATTAGTCATGTTTATGTATTATGTATATTAGATTCATCAGTGATAAATAATAATAGATATTTCATGTAGTGAGAAGTAAAGATTTTATTTGTTATTACAGATATATCAAACTGAAAATGGTAGAAGTCAACGAGTACACTTGCAGCTTTGGGACACAGCTGGTCAAGAAAGGTAAATAGATATCAGAGGAATCTAAGAACACAGTTTTTGAGAAAACCAATGTTTACATGCATTTGTTGCATTCTTTGACAGCATTAAATTTTAGCAAGCGAGTAGAATGTGCAGTTACATATTTATATTATATTATTCATGATAGAGATAATATAAAGATGCGATTCTGCATTGTGATATCTTAACTCGATTACATCACTGTGAAAGCTTGCTAAATGCATATTACAAATTGTTGTAAAGATCCAAACAAGAGTATGATATTACATCCTGCATGTACAGAGAATTAAGACTCCCAATCTAACTTTCCAAATAAGTAGCTTAACATTATTAATATCCAGGTTCAGAAGTCTAACCACAGCCTTTTACCGAGATTCTATGGGTTTCCTACTAATTTTTGACCTGACCAATGAATCGTCGTTTCTCGAAGTTAGAAACTGGCTGGAGCAGCTTCGGGTATTTGTCATTTATTAACATTCTTATTATAAATATATTGCATGTAGAGTATATATGCATGCATTTTAATCAAACGATTTTTCTATTTTTTTTTTTAAATTAGTTCACATGTAATATTTGTGTTTAATAGTCATTATAACATTTGTGTGATACCGAAATGCAGTTATATTTAATCTAATAATTTGCTGCAGGAAAATAAAGCATGTAGATAGAATTGATTATTGTGGATTACTAATGTACAATTTGTTTAAATATGATATTTATTGTTACAATTTCACATTGGAGTAAAATGCTTTTACAAGGATTGTTAAAAATCCTTAAAGAATTAGTAAAGAAATTTACGTAATTTGACATACTTAATTGAAAAGAGATTAGATAATCCAATTTTATTTATTTATTTGTATCTAATGCAGAAAAGTATAAAAATATGAACATTCAAGGGATGATATAAAATTATACAGATTTTTACAGTAGATATAATATTTATTTATTATAATAATAATAAATAAATAATTTTTATAATAATAAGTAAAAAATGATAATTAAAAAGAGTTAAATTATGAAATAAGATATATCTAAATATTTTTAAAGAAGTTGTTACTTCTTTTATCTATAATATTTTAAATGATTATACTTTTATAATTCTTTGAGATAACATTTTGTAGAAATTAAACACACAGAAATTCTTCCGTAATGCTTTAATTAGATAGTGATCGATACTATTGTTTGCTGATTATAATAGCACGTATATATGTTTAGAATGTATATTTAGAATATATATTTATAATATACATAATAAGGGTATAAGTGGTATACATGTACACATTTTTTTTCCTATACTCATAAGTCGTCGTTTAATTTAAAAATTAAACATTTGTGATAAAAGTTTTATTAATAAGTACAAGAAATTTAATTCTTAAATTATATAACTATAAAAAATTTATTTTTAATCTGAAATCGTGTTGAGTTCTCTGATTGCAGAATTTAATAATAGATATCTTATTTTGCTTAAAATTTTCCAGTAATCTGTCATAGTACAATTTTCTTGGAAAAATTTCGTATTTATTGAATTAATGTATTTTATTTTATGTATATATACGTGTAGACACACGCATATTGTGATGACCCAGACATAATTCTCTGTGGCAATAAATCTGATCTTGAGGATAAACGCGTTGTCAGCGAGCATAAAGCACGAGATCTTGCTGAAAGACACGGGTAAGTCAAGTCAGAAATAGTAAAATATATGTAACGTTATTTAAAAAAATATATATTTATTTTTTCTCTTTATTGTGTTGTACTTTTTTCAGCTTGGTTTATCTGGAAACGAGTGCTGCAACTGGGCAAAATGTTGAGCGCGCCGTGGAAATTTTACTGGATCGTGTAATGCGCAGAATGGAGGCTACGGTGGACAAGTCGCCGTTACCACATCAAAAAGTTTTAAGATGTCACGAGCGCGATACTCCGCCACCCCGGAGTTCCTGCTATTGCTGACAGTGTCGGTACATGTAGTTTTTTAAACTACATTCTGTCTGCCGAAGTCAAAGGAAAGAGCATATTATGAAACCGACGCCTTCAATTTTTGAAGTCAATGTTAATCTCGTCATAAATCATAAACTATTTCGATTAGCATGTTCGTTGCAAGATTAGAACATCAGAAAATAATTCCGTTAATTAATTGATTTTATGTTTGCTATTTGTTCCACGTTTTTAGTCGAAAGTTTGAATGGAATATGATATAATCGATAAGGAAAAATTAATCAAAGAAAGTTTTCGAATAAAGCTGATGAAAGAATGCTTAATTTAATTATTTAATTGACAATAACATATCAGTATTACACGAATCTCATTATAAATAATATTTATGAGGATGTATAGAAATAAAATATTCGGAATTATTTTCTATTACTTATATACTGTAGGATGTTTACTATCTAGAAAGATCTGAAAATTCAGGGGATTTTTTTACTCTTAAAAATAATTTTTGTAAGATTAGTATTTAGAAAATTTTTTGAAATTTTACTAATAAATTAAAATTCTGTCTTTTAAAAAAATTGTTTATATTTTTATGTAAAATTTTTATTTTTAATTGTTTATATTTTAATATAAAATGTGACAATCAATTAGTGATAAATATGATATACGCATTTGCATATACAATATTTACGTACATTTTCGTGACTCGCAAGTTTTTATTTAAAAAAAAATCAAGATTTAACAGTAGAAAGACAATACACAGCAAAAGATATAAAAAAGTGTGAAACTCACTGATGCTAACACACACAATAAGATATTATATAATGAACGTTCTCCAAGTAGCACATATCTTTAAATGATTATAAAACATTAGATACTTTTAGAAAATATGCATAAAATTTATATATGTACCAACATATATAAAATTTATATATGTGCTATCTGAGTCTTTGTATTTATTTTATAGATTTTACTTTAATTTCTATATTTATAATCTCCAATTATAGAAAAGGATATATATAGAAATTTCTACTAATTATTTTGTTTGTGTTGCTTACATTCCAATTTATTTCAAAGTTATATAAAAAAATTCTCCATTTTAATTGAATGTTTGAATAAAAATCCGGAAATTTTCAGGAAATGTTTTAGCGTTGGCTGAAGTTTCAAGTTTAATATTGTAGAAAGCTGTATTGTCTCGAAATTCACACATGTTTTAATAATATAGCAGCGCAACGAACATGTTAAGAAGCTTTCCACTCTTATCAATAAATATATTTCTACAAAATAGCTGTCCCGCGTGTTTTACGGGAAATTATATATTGACATTCAAGATTTCTTGTTATATGCTGCACATATTGAATGTCTTCCACCATTGCTTATTATTGAATGGAAATATCATTTCAATGGATCTATCAATGAACTTTTAATTATATTTATATAATAATGTTGAATCTTCTACAGACACAACTCTCTATTGTTTCTTTTTTTATTTTGACGAACTACTACCTTCTAAAATTCCATCTTATTATATTTTATAAAAGTCTTTTTATATATATAATTATACCACTATCGTCTTCCAATGTTGCTTGTTGTTGAGTGACGATGTTCACCGACGAATTTAAACATCACTTAAAAGTGTCTTTCATCTTGCGATAAACTACCGACCTTTTCTATCACTATTATTATACGCACAACGTGTTCAATAAGTCAATCTTTTCTTACTAGCGAAAAGTGTGATATGCGATTTATGTCGCAAAAGAAATTTTGGAAGTTAAAGCGAATCACTTTTGACTGTATGTAACATATTTTTGATGATGTTATTATATAACCAATCAGAATATTAATATATTTAATCATAAGTGATTATATATATAAATGAGCATAACCGAGATATCATATATATGCGCGTATACCGGCAAACTAATCTCTTGTGATATTTATATGAATAAAACTGTAAGTCATTGTGTTGTGATTAATCATTAATGCCTCAGTATTATGAAATAAATGCTACTAATGTTAAAAGAGAGTTATGCAAGAATACGTAGTAATTTTAAGTGTTTATAAAAGAACTATATATTATATAAATGACATTATGCATACACTAATTATAACAAGATAAAATTACAAAGGATATAATTTACGAACTTTCGAGTAATATTACAAGCAAGAATGTATAAATTTTTTGGAAATTGGAAGTGAAAAAAAAGAACTTATTGAAGTATTACAAGTCTCAACAAATAGATAATAAAATATTTTGTTTTTTATTTAATTAGATTAATTTCTTTTTAATTAGATTTTTACTTAAAATTATTCATGAGAACAAATTTATTTAATTATAAGATTATAAATATTTCTAATTTTGAAAAAGTCTAACTAATAAATAATTGTCTTTCATAAAATTTTCGCAAAAAAATTACTAATAATAAGAAAAACCAATTTTTTTTTATAAAATTGAATGCATTTGATGTTCGTAGGAATTTAAAAAAATTCTATTTTTAACAAATATAAAAAATTTTGCATTTTTATTATGTCATTAACTATGACTTAGCGCTTTGAATTACTTTACTTCATGAAATGAGCTGCTGAGAGCGTAAATAAGCAGGTAAGCTTATAGAATTATACGTGCTATGGAGAGAATGTAATCAATCTTAACCGTGCAGTTTATACGAAGTTTCCACTCATCTCGTTTATATCTTGGGATATATTAATACTAAATTGAGCACGTATTAATTGAAAATTATGAACCTTACACATATAAAATAAATGTGCTTTTTTTTTCATTAATGGAGAGCTTCTAACTATGCAATTAATTTTATTAGATGTAAACAGTTAGCAAAATATGATTGACATTTGAGTAAATGGATTATAGCGCAATTAAATTGTTGAAGTAGGTAATAATGTAAAATTATTTAAGTTTTGGAATAATTTATATTGTTTTATTTAAAAAGAAGTGTATTTTAATATATTATTGATAATAACATACATATATATATATAAGTAATTGTACTCGTTTATATAGCGTTTGTGAAGTGATTGAGATGTTATCAATATTGTTACTAAAAGTTTAAATCGTTCATTGATGCTATTCATTGTGTGGAGGTTGAAATGAGTGCAAAGAGTATATTTGAACAATAGAAGCTGTCTAGAAAATATTTCTTGTAGCAGGCGATGGAACTTCAAGCCTTCGTCAATGAGACGAGAAGTTACAGAATATTCGAAAAGATTATAAGTTTACCGAAAACTTGTTCCATTGCTTGCTTATTAGTCTATTTACACGTATAAATTTCTGTTTATAAAAGTTAGTATTTCCATGTTTTCGTTATACGAAAATTAATAATTTTTTCATTTTAATCAGAATCAATTTGAGTTAATACTTTTCAAAAGAGATATATAGAGTTTTTAAAAGAAAATGCTACTTAAAATTCTCCCAAGAAATATAAGGTTTTTGAAAAAAATTTTCTTTTTATTTGACAGTTTTATTGAGAAAACAAAATTTGACATCATAAATAACGGAAAGGGAAATTATGTAGATAATTATATCAGGGATTCTAATAATCGTACTGAATAATAAATTCTTGGTAAAAGAATACAAGAGTGATATATTAATATTATTGAATGTTAAATGTATTTTTAAAACATATAAATTTATTGCACTAATTGTGAGTTGCAAATGTACAATTACATTCGTTAAAGATACTATTTCAAACGATACACCGTCTAAGATTAAAAAATTCATTAATGTATGAAAAAGTTACCACATAATTGTTGAAAAGAAATGTTATTAGAATATCATGTATACGAGTTGATTAAATAAAAACTATCGATATTTATCTTGTTGTGTTTTACATATTTTATTATCTCGATTGATGTCGATTTCTTTATTTTTTTTTGTAATTAGTGTTTGTGCATAGTTGTTATTCTTTATTGTGTATCACAAATTTTCAAGTACACAGAACTACCAGCGTGAGAGAAATTATTAGAATACTAACTTAGGAAACTCGCATACAATTTATAGAGCTAGAAGAGAGCACTGGCGGAAGTTGGAGCGCTACAATACCGTATTATGTACTTAAGAAACCATCTCGGAGTTCCTAAATTGAGTTGTTCACGAGATAAGTTTAATCTGAATAATTAGGCACATAGCTTTACACGTGTTACAATAGTTGCATTAATTGACTGATTCTTTAGCTTCTCACTTTATTTTCAATGGTATTATCGTACACATGGGATATTTAAAGTAAAAAGAAAAATTTATAGAATAAGTTTATCGAGAGATGTTCGAAATTACACATTAACGGAATTGCATCTGGCGCATTACATTCAAATTTCAACTTGCTTGAAAGTTTTACAAGTTATAAAACTTGGAACAGCAACGTTTCAGTATTAATATATAAAAGTTTTCATATTAATACATATATAACTTGCAACAAGAAAATTATATGCAGAATTATTTTAATATGTTAGTTTAATTTCCTGAAATGCATAAATGGAGACTATAAATATTAAATGATAAAACTAATAATAAAAAATAGAAATTACACAAGTAATTATTGAAATAATTTTTAGCAGCAGAAATAGAGATGATTACTTTTTCGAAGAAAATTAAGAAATTCCTAAAAATTAATCTGCAAACTTTCGAGCAGTGCCTGATCCATCGAAAACGTTCCGAGTTTATATGCAAAATTGTTTAACGTGGCTTACCGCGGTTAGTAAATTAAACCGACTCAAATTTATCAAATAACTGTATTAATAGTGAATCATTTATCGAACCGGCCATTTCGCGTTGCTTGGGATATATAATCTCCCTTTCTTACTTTGTTCAACCTCCTGATTTTCTCTCTTCCTCTGTCTCTCTCTCTCCTTCTGTTTCTCAAGGTGAGAGGAAGTTTCCGCCAAGTCTCTGGCGACGGGTGTAACTTCTGACCGGAAGTTTCACCGTGCTATCTACCTGAGTTCTCCTCGCTGGCTTATTCGCCAGAGACGCGCCGGCTATAGGTACTCACTCTGCATGAATTTTCGTCGCACGTAGCAAGCAGTCAGTTTCAAAGATGACATGGAGCTGCTTGGTTTCGC